ATTCTGATGGTATCTTTCTTTGGAATGGGCAAATGTCTCTTGCCTAGTCAGTTGGCGAGGTAGTTGACTTCCAGATGTCCTGTGCAAAGAAACATGAGTAGTTCCCAGCATTGTTGAAACATGTCACTACTATTGTGCCAATTACTTGTTTTCCGACAATTCTTTTAAGATAGCCTGGACTTCTTTATTTAGTAACATTTTCTTTCTTCTTGATCATAGACTACCTCCTGAAATGATTGATTCAATCAGTTCTTCTTGGTACAGCTTCTCAATATATTCATCCAACTTTTGATATTTCCTATGCCATTCTGTACGTTTTCCTTAGACTCTTTCTCTATTGCAACTTGAGGCTTGAACATTTTCTTCTTCTTTTTCTAGCTTGAGGAAGACTATACGTTAGTTTTCTTTTGGTTTTCTAACTCTCTACTTTGAAAAATTTCACTTTAAGACTTCATCTTTTAGCACCACCAAGACTGCTTTTCTGCTCTTTTTCTTCACCATTTCTCCCATTTTCTAGAACTACTCTACTCAACTGTATTCACTCTGGTGGACTAGTTGCATTGCTAACTCAAAGGTAATTAGTTTGAAACCACCAGATGCTCTGTGTGAGAAAAGTGGATCAGATGTCTCCTCTTGTATGATTTACTGCCTCTGAGAACCAGCTGGAGGAAGATCTGTGAATCAGTTCTAAGTATTTAACTTCCCTGGAAATCCCAAATTATAGAAAACACATTTATTTTTAAGATAAGCTGTAATGCAATTTGTAGTATGTGTTAAAATCAAGAGTATATGGTGAGTAATAATGCATCATGAAGCTTTTCTTCAAATAAAGGTATTCTTTTGTGTACAGAAAATAGATATAAATGATAATACACAAGTAAACCTCTTTAAAGTTCATGTTATTTATCTACATTGCTTTCTCATCTAACAGTACCAAAATTGCTATTTGAGGCTGTCATGGGAAGTAGATAGTGCTATGAAGTATGTTATCTGTCAGAGAAGTAGATTCTCTGTCAGGAATTGAGAAGCTTCAAGTTTAGAGAAGAGCGCGCAGAGGCTGCCCTTACTGGGAGCTAAACCGTAACCTGGTGTTACACTCATATGACGTCAGCTCACCTCACCGCATTGCTAGGTAACGAACTACTCTGAAGGAGATAATTTTTCTTGTTAAGTCACCTTAATTTGTTAATTCTTTAATTCAAATAAAAAATGTAAACAAATATTACAGTTTGTATTTTCTTTTTTTTTGGAG